AACTTATATTTTCTTTACACCTTATTTATGTTAGGTACTATTTATTACTAACGGTCAGTCAATGCCTTTTTCATTTCGTTCACATCTGTAATTTCAGATGGCTTTACATTTTACATTGTGTAGCATGTATGATATGTACATGTAAAATATACGGATTTTAATGTTTTTTTTCTTTTGGTAATTATCGTCAAAAAATAGACAGACAGGCTTTGGCAGTAAAAGATAAAAGGAAAAAAAGTTGTTCAAATGGCGTATTCACATGGCAGTTTGGTCATTGACTTATCAATTTTTCTTTATTGACTTCAAAAACATAATTAATTTGAATACCTATAATATTGGGAAATTCAAAACCTAACAAAAGGTTAGTACAAAGACTTAAGGACAAGGAAGCCAAGCTGTCACAGCTTAATTAACAATGTGTAATAAGATAAAAACAAGACTAAGATTTCCAAAAGTTAATTAATGTTTGTAACTGTGGACGAGATTCCAAAGTGACGGATCTTTTGATGGGATACAATGGAGTACAAAACAACAATAGATTACTTACAGAACTTCATTAATTACTGCTGATTTAGTTAAAATATGGTTTGATGATAAATGATACTTCTCTCACACATATTAAGAAAAACACACTCTTTTGATTATTATTTTTGGTTTTATCAATCATAATTTTTACAAATTTTTAAATGCATTAATTATATTATAAACCATTAATATTTTGCATACATAAAGCTAAAACATCAAACATTTGCTTACAGAAGAAATATCATCAACCCAAAAAATATATATGATACATAAATTTAGATTATGAATCGTTTAAAAGATGTGGAAAAAAATATACATGATCTAAATGTTCAAATTAGAGGACTTGAGTTATAATATAATTTTAGATTTTTTAAGTAAATTATAAAAATATGATTTATTAGTAATTTTGAAATCAATTAAAAAATTTAAATAAAAATTTATATATCCCTATCAGAACATCTAAAAATTATTAATTCTCACAAAGTTTGTTATTTAAATATTTTAATAAAGTAAAATTTAAATAGATTTCCAAATTAAAAATTCAAGAACAAAGGATTTTAATATAAACTAGATTTTGACCCGCGCAACCGCGCGGGTGTTTGTTTTTGTTTATAGTTATATAAACATTTTGTTTTCACTTGTAAATTGGTATATATTATAGTAATCACATATTTACGATATGTATAGTAAATGTTTTTCAAACATAATAATATTATATAATAAATGTTTTAATCAAATAGATTGTTTCAAATTTTCTATATTATACATGACTTTCAAACATGTGTTTGTTTCTTCTTCTATATTTATTGTTTGTTAGATTAGTATTTCATTTTTAGATAAAGTAATATAAATAGAGCTTGATTAAATATTAGTGTAATTTAATTTGCAAATATAATATAAACTTCGAAGAAATTTTTGCTAAAAACTAAACTTATAGCTTCATAAATTAATATTATAAAAAGTTTATTAAAAAGGAATTTTTTAAACAATTTCTTTTTTTGTAAACAATACAATTTTAAAAATTTTCATCGAAATAAATTTATCTAATATATATAACGTGTAAATTTTGTTAAGGTATATAAATATTACATATTAATAATCTATGATTTTTGTTAATATATTCTGGATGCATTTAACTATTATTGACATATTTCCTTATAAATAATAGAAGATTCTTAAATTTATATCTATTGACATATTTTGCGTGACTAAGTTGGAAGGTGTGGGGTAATTTACCAAAACAAAATTGTTAAGCATATTATAAGATATAATAATGATAATCTATACTATATAAAAGTTGAGGCTATAAGCCATTGAAAGTGTCCACGTAGGATTTAAGTCCTCCAATCGTATAATGACACATCATTATATTAATTTATTATTTTTAGAAAATGTCATTGTTTCCAAATTATATTAAAAACAAAATTAATATTCCATATATAATTTAACAAAAAAATAAATATTAACATTTTACAAATTACATAAAAATGTTAACT